GAAAAGAAATAACATCTTCTGGCCTGAGAGAATGGGAGCTGGAGAAACCAGAGAACTGCAGTCCTGGCAGCCAGTTTCTTAGAGCCTGCACTAGGGTGTGGCTGATTTACAGAGGATAGTGTCTTTGAATTTCCCGACCTATTGTTCTTGAAAATTACCCCCCCCACCCCCGTGTGTATTTGTACACTATACACATGGGTGGTACCCACAGACACCAGAAGAGGGTGTTGGATCCCCTAGAAGAGTTAGATGGTTGTGAGTTACAATGTGGGTGCTAGGAGCTTCAGTAGATCCTCTGTAAGAGCAACAAGTGCTTTAGCTTGGGAACAATCTCTCCATCTCCACCCCCCTTACCTCTTTTCATTCATTGTGCGCATTAAGTCCTGTGAGTACAGGACTTCATTCACTGTGTGCATTAAATCCTAAGAGTATAGGACTTCCCACACCTACTCAGAAAGTAGCATCCTTTGTTTTAGAAAAATTCCTCCTCACCACAGTCATTTAGTGTCACAGTGTCACTCAGAGACACTAGAATTCAATACCCTCCCTGGAGAACATTGTGTTGAATGGTCTGGAGACCACTCAGAACCACTGCACTAGTGTTGGGAGTATACTGGTCATAGCCCTGGTCTCTGTCTTTCTTCTTTTGTTTTAGACTTGCCTTTTCTTCCTATCTCAGTCTGAGTAGCCAGTGAGAGGTATGGGATAATGATTTTACGTTTCCTCTACCTCATCTTCTCCCTTGTGTCCCGGGGGCAGCCTCCCTGCTCTGATTTCTCAGGACACAGAGTGCTAGCTAACAGTTATGCAGGGAAGTTGTGAGTTACACTGGTTTTCTGACTCTTTTGGACTTCTCTATTCTGTGTGTGTGCTGCACAGACACGCATGTACACTCAGACATACAGACACTCATGCACGTTCAGACACACAGAGATACACATGTGCACCACATACAGAGAAACAGAGACATATGTAACAGGGATAGACTCACTTGCACACATAGAGACACACAAACACACATGATGTCAGTAAACTCTCTCTGCTTCTTGGAAGAAGCCCCAGACAGAGAAGAACTGTCATGCCCGGTTCTACTCTGTGCTTTTTACTTCAGTCCACTACCCTACAGTGCGACTGAACTGTTTCCCCACTAGTAATTCTGGAGATAAATTTTAGTGGAAATGAATTAACATGTTAAACTGTTATGTAATACTCATATTTGTGATTGTTTTTAGAAGAATACCTATCATATGTGTGTATGTGCATGTGTGCACATCGCATGAGTCTATGTATAGGTCAGAGGACAACCTCAGCTGTTGTTCCTCAGGCACTATCTACCATCTTTTCTTGTGAGTCAGGATCTCTCCTTGGTCTGGAACTTACCAAGCAGGCAAGGCTGCCTGGGCAGTGAGCCCCAGGGAGACACTTATCTCCACCTTCCCCATGCTGGGATTACAGATGTGTGCTGTCACACTTAGATTTTGTTTTACACACACACACACACACACACACACACACACACACACACACACATTAAAGATTCTAGAGGTTGAACTCAAGTTCTTTTTTATTTGTGAATGAACTTAATTTTAGATCTATTTCTCTTATGTGTGTCAGTGTTTTGTCTGTATATATGTATTGCACTACATGCATGCCTGGTACCCAAAGAAGTCAGAAGCGGGTGTGGTATCCCATGCAGCTGGAGAAGGTTGCTATAGAAGGTTGTTAGCTGCCATGTGGGTGTTAGGAATCAAACCCAGATCCTTTGCAAGGACAGCCAATGCTCTTAACCGCCGAGCTACAGCTTCAGACCTCTGAACTCAGGTTCTGGTATGTCCAAGGCAAGCATTTTACTGACTGAATTGCTTTGGAAATTGGAATAAGGGGCATCCTGCATATTTAGATTCTCAGAGAATGAGATTATCCTTCTGCCTTTGAAGTACAGATCTCTCTCTCTCTCTCTCCATAATGCCCTCTCAGTCCCACTCCCTCTACCTCTGACAGTCTCTCCTGGTTAGGAAGAGCCAAACATGTAATACTAATCTCTCCCAGATTTCGTGTCCTAGGAAACGTGTTAAGCAGAGTATGATCCATTGCTAAGTAGCCAATTCCATGTATCTTAAATTTGAATTAAAATATGCTTCATAGGTTAGTTCTTCAGACAGAATTTTGCTGTGATGAATTTATAGCCAGAACTGACAACATGAAGGCAACCTGTTCTGCAGAATCTGCTTAGAATGTATTTACCAGGACTTGGCCCAGTTGGTTGTAGACACAGGATTGTTGCTCTATCTGAATCAAGTCCTGAATAGAGCACTTAGTGGCTGTCTCTGAGAAGGAATCTCATGTATCCCACGATGGCCTCTAGCTTGCCACGTAGCCAAGGATGATCTTAAATTTATGAGCTTCTTAACCTCTACCTCCTGAGTGTTAGGATGACAGGCATGCACCACCATACCCAGCTTTAGGTTGTGTGAGGATTGAATCCAGTGCTTTATGCTTGTTAAGCAAGCACTCTAGCAACAGAACCACATCCCAAGGCCACACTCAGTGGCTATCAAGGGTGCACTTTTATTACATAAACAGTACCACTAACTAAAGAGCACCTAAAATGATCTATACTATGACCTGTTAGTTGTACTAACCGGTCCTTAGCTAGAATGGTTTAAAGTGACTGAAGTATGGACCTCTGGATCCAACCTGAAAAGAAAGATGATTAGTAGAGAGAGATGGATCTGGTACCAACCTCCCCTTCTGGTTTCTGTCTAAGGCAGGGTACTTGCTGCTCTGTGCCATTCCCTCCCCCACACAAAGACCAGCAGAGCAAGCTTAAAACTCTGTTCTAGCTCCACAGTGGCTTGGCATCTGAATGAGGGAATGGCCTGACTACTAATGGATAGCCAGTTTCATCACTTAAAAGCACCTCCTACCTTTCTGACCTCCCCTAAGAAATTAGATACAAAAAAACCTTTAATACTGTGGATTTCTCTGGAAGAAATTGTAATCTGCACAACTGCCTTCAGATGGCACAGACTTTGTACATTTGGAAGTTTCAGTACCTGGAATATGTCTTCTTGGTGTGGACTGTCTTGAGTATGACAATTACAAGTGGCAGTCTATGACAGCAATCCTGAGGTACTATATGGGTGATTAGTGATCAGGAGGCTATTTTAGGATGAATAGGAGTGTTCAGCATGACAGCATCTGAGCTATAAATAGAATTTCAAACATATTTTGGGTCTGTAAACCCCATTTTCCCATGATTATTTCATAAAGTCTCAAGGAAGGAAAGGAAATGCACATATATACTCTACTTCTAGTATTCTCTAGTTCCTCAGAGACAACTCCACTGATCCTGTCAGGAGACACAGTTTTAATTCAGGTTATTGGCTGGCTATTTAGCTTAGAGACTGTGTACTCTGAGTTAAAAACAACAAAAAGTAACCTTTGGTACAGCCTTATTCTGAGCTGTTGGTGCTAACCGATTATGCCAGCTACTAGGACTAGTAGAGGCTCAAGCAAGAGAATCACAAGTTCAGGGCTTGAATGGACTACAGACTGAGTTTAAGGACATCCTGGGAAATTTCGAGATAGCTTATCTCAAAGTGAAAAGTAAAGAGAGAGCTGGGATGTTAGAATTCAGTGAGTGGAACATTTTGTAGTCTGTGGGAGGCCCTGTGTTCACCCCCTAGCACCACATGAAAAAGCAGTTAAACAAATATCCAGCCTTTTGTGTAATGATCGCTTCTTTCTCCTAATGAGGACCTCCTCAGATGAGGCAGGATTTAGAAAGAACATTAGGGAAACTTCTAACTCGAAGCTTATGGGTGAAGACTTGACTCCATTAACAAAGTCTGATTTGCTTTTATTAGTATCTAACCTTCCTTAACCTTCCTTAATTTATTATCTCTATTATGGTAGCTCATCTTTAAATATTTTTGTCAACAATATTTATTTCATCAGTGAAGCCTCATGGGCCTGAAGAGATAGGCCAACAATTAGGAGCACTTGTTGCTCTTTTGGAGGTCTAGATATTGGTTCCCAGCACCCAGATTGGGTGACTCACAGCAGCCTGTAACTCTAGCTCATAGGGTATGACACCCTCTCCTTCTAGGTTTGGTGGACACTCTTACACACACACACACAAATAAATAAATAAATAAATAAACACACACACAAATAAATAAATAAATAAATAAATAAACACACACACACACACAAATAGAAAGAAACCCCCTAGTTGTTGACTACCTATGAGGAACAGCAGAAAACGGAGTCTCAGTGCAACATAGGCAACTAGTTACAACCAACACAATCCATTGCAAGCAGACATACCCCAGTCCCATAAGTCTTTACAATAGTAAAACCTATATTCTTATCATGAAACAATTTATCTGAACCAGTAAAAATACGTGTCTTGATAAAACTGTAAGCCAGTGGTAGAAATTTTCATGTAATTTAGAGAAAGATGTGTTTAGTTTGTTTGGTTTTTAAGGCTGGGTCTCATTCTGCTGCTTAGGCTGGCTTTGAACTCTTTATCTTTCTATATCTGCCTCCCACGTGCTAGAATTACAGGCACTAGCCACCACATCTAGCTTGAGAAAGATGCACTCTTTCTAACACAAGACATAGCCTACTATTTCAGTTTGAGGATATTACCTAAAGGTGAATAATTGTCTTCTTTAAAGGAGCTTGTTCATGCAAATCTTTGCATCCTACCAGCCACAAAGAGGCCTTAATGCACATTAGATCATTCAGAAAAACCTTTAAAGCTCTTGGGTCACACGTTTGTAAGTTCCTTGTCTGATACCAGCCTCAAGCTCTTGGGAGGAGCTTTACTCCCATTACCCACATGATGAGCATTCTGAGTTTAGGCCAAAGAAAGGAGCCACCGACATAAGCTCTTCTCAAAGTACAACAGTGCACCAACATTCCAGACACAAGGTTCTGAAAGACAGGCGGCTAACGAGGTTATAACTGCTGTGTCTTCCTCTTCATTTAAGGCATAACTCAATCCGAAGACAACTCAACCTGTCGAACCCGGACTTTAATATCCAGCAGCTTCAGAGGCAGGAGCAGTTGACTGGGATTGGTAGGATTAAACCAGAGTTGTATAAACAGAGGTCATTGGACAATGAGGAAGGGAGAAGAAGTAACAGCAAAGCCTGCGGGAAACTGAACTTCATTTTAAAATATGACTGTGACTTGGAACAGCTCATCGTGAAGATCCACAAAGCCGTCAATCTGCCCGCCAAGGACTTCTCTGGGACTTCAGATCCTTACGTCAAGATCTACTTGCTTCCTGACCGGAAAACAAAACACCAGACTAAAGTTCACAGGAAGACCCTGAACCCTGTATTTGATGAGGTGTTTTTATTTCCTGTTCCCTACAATGACCTCGAAGCGCGGAAGCTTCACTTCTCTGTGTATGACTTTGACAGGTTCTCTCGCCATGACTTGATTGGTCAAGTGGTGGTGGACCACTTCTTCGACTTGGCTGACTTCCCCAGGGAGTGCATCCTTTGGAAGGATATCGAGTATGTCACCAACGTGAGTCTAGCATTCCTTCATTGGTGGGTGGGGGGGGGTTGCTTCTTCATTTCCACTGAAACAGACTGCTTATACGTGTTATTTGGGAACAAACTATAAAATTCACACTGATATTCTTCTGTTTGTTAGAAGCTCTCTGTATCTTTGGAGGGATGGGTTTTTGACAGCATTAACTTTGATATATACAAGAATAATTTGCTGAAACTATTATATGGAATCCCTTTCTCATTTTTCTTCTATTATAGCTGTTTTCTATTAGTCCTCACAACATTTTCTTGAGAGTTCTTTCAGGTTTGTACTAACTGGGTCATGGCATCCTGTTCACTGTTTTCTACAGCTGAAAGTCCATTGCCTGATCAACAACATCAAGTACTTGCCTGGGTTCTTCTATTGACTCAAAAGTGCTTCCAGGATCAGATCCTCATTTTAACCCTGAGCTTGGGAGTGGTTGAGGAGAGTTAGCATGGGAATTCCAAATGTAAAAGACATAAATTAAAATTGTAAGGAAGTCAGTCTGAAAAGATGGCAGAACTGATCTAGAGAAGATCAAATCTCATGTCAGACTTGGGAGAAGAGGGAGAGATCTGCTATAGCCACGTTCACATGTTTACAAACAGCAGATCCCGCGGGATGTTTGTACTCTGATTTACAACCTCATTACTCCCTACTTAAGCTCCAGACTGAGGAAAATTGGACTTTCTTGGGGGAGGGGAACTGATACTTTCAAGCTGGATATTTCTTTCTCTTGATCAGATTCCCTGAGGTGACTCTTGGTGTGTTTTCTCAATGCCAGCATTGCCTTCTTCATCTTGGCATCCAAAGGGACCAAGTGTCACTATCTTAATCCAACTCAGGCACTGATCCAACTTGGAATTGAGCCTTGAGTGAACCAAAGACTGTCTCTACTCAAGAAGAGGACCCCTAGATTTCTGTTCAAGAAGAGGACACCCAGATCTCTAGCCATAACCAAATACCCTATAGTCATGGTGCTCTTCAGCTTCCGACACATTAATGACCTAGGGACTTCCTCACCCATTAGTCAGTCTCTCTGCATAACCTAAGTCCTTGTCCCAGCTTTGTCATGCTGTATAGGTAGGGTAGGTCGTGGTGGCTTCCATCTTCACATCTGGAAGGAAGAGAAGGTATAGAGAATAACAGTTGGTAAAACTGAAGTGATTTGTGATACTGGGGGAAGGAACAGACTTCTTCATCTTGAAAAGCTCTAACATTTGAAAACCCAAAAAATGGATACTGGGGAGAGCAACAATTATCTTTATATTCTAGATGCCAAAATGAGGAGGTGACTGAGGAGGCTTAAAGAAACAAGGTAGACAGGCTGCTCATAGTAATCTATAAGTGTCCTCAAATTAGCTCCCCCAGCCCCATGTGGGGCATTTAGCAGATCTCTGTGAGTGTAGAAGCTCCAGCCATGATGCTGAGCTCTGACTAGGTCTGGTCCCAGGGTCAGGTAGGGAAGCATTGTTCACACCATCCAGCCAGACTCTAATGTTCTGGCAAGCAGAGTCATAAACTAGATGGAGAACTTCCAGGAAGGTCAGTGGGGATCCTTCTGGAGTTGCCATCTAGGGGTTTTATGGATAGAGCAACATCATATGCACAGAGGCTGGCCACAGTCCAGAAGAGGCAGGTCCCTGGTGGAAAGGTCTCCTCACAAAGGTTCCTGTGGGGCAGGAAAAGAGTGGCAGTCTACAGAGACCTTCAGCTCTGAGGTAAGTCTGCCAGAACTAAGAGTTTCTGGATCGTTGTTTGGAATTCCTGGATTGCAGAGGAGTTAAGAAGAATGTGCAACTCATCAAGCATTTACGCAGGCTTTCGGTTAGCCTCAGGAGAGGGGAGGTGCTATGAGTGGAATTACAGACACTTTGGTAATCTGTCTCATAATTTTTAATTTGTTCAGAAACTGAGCACAGAGGTCTAAGATTTGCTAAGGTTCTGCTTTTATATGCAGAAGCATGAAATACCACGTGTATAATACATACCAGAGGAACAATGAACGGGTCGGTAAATGAGCAGATGTGAACCCACCAGCTGAAGAAGACAGCACTCTAGTACTTTCAGCCTTGGTGATTTGCTCTCATCATCCCTTTCGCTACCCTGAGCATACTCACTTTGTGACAGTGTATTGAATTTTGTTCTGGTGTCCATGGCCCCCCTTTGAGTTCCCATTCCACACTTAAAATTAATTATAAATGTAACAGTGGACAAGCTTTGCTTGTTTCCATTGTGTACAAACATCCTGTTGTTCAACATATGACAAGTTATCCTTCTCTCTGGAAGGATTTTATCCATTGATTTTTATTTTATGGGTAAATGTGTTTCGTTTGCATGTGTTTGTGTCTGGTACCTATGGAGGGCAGAAGAGGGTGTCAGATATCCTGGAACTGGAGTTAACAGGTAGTTGAGGGCCACCATATGGATGCTGGGGACTGAACCACGGAGTCATCATTCCAGCCTGTTACCTTTGTTACATTGAAGACATTCATGTTACTAATTTGTTTGTGATTCTGAAGAGCATAACAGAGAATACTTTCATGTCCACCCATAGATTAACAAGTACCACAGTCTTTGATACAGGTGTTCAACATTTCCAAGTGGTTATAAGGCCATTTCCACAGTGGCGTCTTAGCAGATCCCCTGCTGGTGAGATGTGACTATCCCAAGTTCTGGACCGAGTTTCTCACCAGTTCTAGATCCTCTAATGCTGGTTTGTGTGTATGTGTGTCCATGTAAAATATCCATAAGACTGCTTTCTTCTTGGCTGCCAAGGTGGCCATCTTTTATGTATTTATCATTCTACCTTCCTTTCTTACATGCAATGCTGTCAGCATATTCTGCTGTTTTTCCCCATATTGATCTAGGTTCTTTTTACAGTCTTTATGCAAGTCTATGTTATATGTGTTATAATTGGCTGTCAGCTTATGGTAGTGTGTGTATTAACTCTGTGGTAACTTATTATTATAATGTTTTATTTATTTGTGTGTGGAGGGGTGAATGGGTATAGACATGGGCCAAGTGTAGAAGTCTGAGGACCACTTTAGGGAGTTGATTTTAACTTTCCACCTTATTATCTTTTGTTTTTGCTGTTGTGTTTCATATTCTAAGCTAGCCTGCCCTTGAGCTATTGGGTAATTCTGTTACCTGGTTCCCACCTCACCACAGGAGTCTGATGCATGCCACCATCCACCTTCTGGGGTGAAACTCAGGTCTTCAGGCTTGTGTAGTTCATCCCTTTACCCCACTGAGCTACCTGTCTAGGCTTAATGGTGACTTTTGATAGTTCTTACGCCTATTCTCATAAAATATATAACTGTTTCCATTGTAAAGTAGCATGATGTGTCTTAATTAAGAAATCTAAGTATGTTATGAATGTATTTCTCCTTTGTTTTCTATTGAAAATCTTAAAGTTTATGTGTTTGCAATAGGGTCTCATTATGTAGCCCTGGCTGACCTTGAACTCACTATTTAGAGTAGATCAGGATAGCTTCAAAGTTATGATACTCCTGCTTCTGCCTCCTGAGTACCTCCTGATTTCAAGAGGATGCTGCCGTGCCAGGCAAAGATTTTAAAGTTTTGACCTATACATATTGGTTTTTGAGACAGGGTTTCTCTGTTTAGCCCTGGCTGTCCTGGAATTTGCTCTGTAGACTAGTCTAGCCTCAAACTCAGAGATCCTCCTGACTCTGACTTTAGAGTGCTGGGATTAAAGACATGTGCCACTACTGCCTGCCAAGTTTTGACATCTTTATTTTTTGAAATTAAAATATGTTTACATCATTTTCTCCTTTCTTCCCCACTAACTCTTCTGTGTACATATCCTATCCCCAATTCTCTCAAAGTTATAGCCTCCAGCCTACTTTTTAAATTGTTATTATACATAAACACACACACACATATACATATGCATATGCATATGTGTATATAGTTATATATACTCACATGTATACATGTATGTATACACATACATATGTACTCATATATGTATGCATCACATATACATATGTAAAATGGAATGTAAAATATAAACTTTGTTTCCCTAGAATTGATATTTTTTTCATCATGTAACATCTTAAATGGGTCGCTTTGACTCCCATTACAAGAGGCCATGGGCTGATTGGCTTAGCAGATGTTGATTTCTCACAACTCTCAAGCCCAGGGTTCGCAAAGGTCACTTCTGATGGGGCTCCCTCCCTGCCTTCGCTGTGTTTTCACAAGGTGAAGAGCTCTAACCTTATAAAAAGGACACTACTTCCACCATGGGCCCCACTCTCACGACCTCATCTCGGTCCAGCCACAGGTCAAACGATCACCCAGTCTGCCATTGCATTTGAGGATTAGACTCTAGTTCACGTTATGCACATTTATTTTTTAGTTAGATAAGGGATTGTCTGGAACATTTTTCCAGTAATACGCAGTGGGCGCATGCCCTGACATCTGGATTTCCATATAGGAATAATCTGCTTCTGGATTCCTTTTCCATCCACACCTCTACTTGACTACATCTTCAAATTGCAGGGCTTGCCAGTTGCTCTAACTTCAGAATCTAGAAAAGCAAGCCTTGTCTTCTTTTAGTTTAGTTTTAGCTGATAACTTGATTTTTTCGCATATCTTTTAGAGCTCCATTGTCAAACAAAAATTATTTTTTTCAGGATCTTAAACTATCAATATTTTATAATAAAATAAAGGATTTTTTTAAGTTATATTTTTCCCTTTTATTTTCAATTTGTCTTAACCACATGCTGATATAATTCTATAGTCTGCCCAGGGATTCTGAATCCTAAATTCAACTGAAAATATTTTTTAAATGCATTTGTACAATGCTGACATTGCATTATGTGTTATGTCCTAGAAGTGTTGGATAGAGCATTGGCCTAGCATGAGCAAAGGTTCGTTCCTGGCTGGGTGGGAGTGTATGAAGTCTGTGCAACAGTTTAAGGAAAGTTTACACCTTTCTCCTCATAGTGTTCTTTCCATGTATATAG